TCCTTGTGAAATTGATATAATATCGTAATTATCTGAATAAAGCTAAGTGCCGGGGACCTAAGTGGTCACCTTAATATAAAAAAAAAAAAAAAAAAAAAAAAAAAAAAAATAATATTGCATATACATATAACAATCACATGATATCTACCTAAGATTCTATTCATATATTCAAAAAAAAATGCCAAAATGAATATAATAGTCCATAATCTATACAATTTTTGCACAAATACAAATTTAAATAGATACTATAATGTTGTTCTATTAACTTTGCAACATTTAATAATCTTTGATAAGCTTTGTTAAGTGATTCTTTGTCTAATATTCTACAGACCAACAGATTATATACTCTAACAAAGTTTGCAAGAATATGTTGGTCTGGTTCTTTTAATAAATCCTAAGTAATAATAGTAGTATATATCATTATAAATAATCACTACTAGTCTCCCATATATACTAAAATCTCTCTTTTGTAGCAATTTTATAAGAAATTCTCCAGATATCAGATGGTGTTTGTAATTTTTTTGCCCTTTTAATCATAAGTTCAAATCATCAATACTTAATTTTCTATCTTTTTTCCAAGTCATATAACAATTCACCTTTTAATTTCCAAAAATAAACAATATATTGGGTCTACAATTACATGTTTGATTGGATTAAAATAAGTAGAGTTCTAACCATCTCACCAAGTTTTCAAAGAGGTGTTTCTTTCTTTGATCCTTAGTTTTGCACTATAACTATTCATATGCATCTTTTTTAATTTTCTCAATATCATGCTCTACAAACCAGTCATCCATATCTACCAAAATTATATTGATATTTAGCATCAAATTGTGTATGTTTTTAATATTGAAAACAAGCACTTCTTGCTGATATTTGTCCATATAATTTTCTAGCTACTGGAATATCATATGAGTAACATATAATAGCATATTTAATTTTTTTGCCTGTAGCAGATTCATTAGTAGAAATTTCTATTTCTTTCCACAATTCAAGTAACTGATCGACCAAAGGTGCAAGATAATAGTTAATATTATCTGTTTTAACTTCTTTGGGTCCTAGTAGCAATACCAGAGTAATTATATTCTGAGATTTGAATCTGAGTTCACAAGACAAATTACAGATAACTGCATATATTACACTAGTAGAATATATAGAGTTTTAAAAATAACTAAACTAGTTCAGATTAATTATAAGGCCAAGATGTGTATCAGCATGTTCTAAAATAAAGAAATCCTCATATTGATTTTTAAAATTTTTCCATATATTACTATCATAAATATTGGCAAAGTAATTATCTTTTATATTTCTATTAACCTATTTTCTGCATGATACTTCAAATTTATTTTGGCTATATAATAACTTGAGCTAATATTTAATACTGATTGTTGGATAAGTAAGCAAAAAATAAAACAATATTCCATTCTTTGTAGGTATCTCTTTTGCCAATTGTTGATTACAAAGTTGTCTTATTTTAGATATTTAGTGACTAGGATATTTTACAAAATTACATTTAAGACATAACAGGGTTTGTCTAGATCTCTTTGTTATTACTTTATCAGGTTTATATAACTTATTATATTTTAAACATGTTGCATAATTATTTATACATAGATCTAATTCTATTAATTTTTGAAATATATATAGTAATTCAGGAAAGTTTTTGAATTGGTCTTGATCAAGATTAGTTAATAGATAGTGTATAAACTTAATTAACAATTCTGTTGCAGTATTGGGCAGCCGATATCTTTGTTGGTATTTCAAGATCCATATTAATATTTAACTAAAGTCTTCAAAATTTTCAAAATCTTCAAATATTTCTTTATTACTGCTTTCAATATCAGGAGCAAAATAATCTATTATAGTTTCCTCATTATCATCACTTTCAGGTTTAATTTCTGTAACTTCTTCATAATCAGAGTTATCTAAAGTCTTAAAAACTATATCAATATTGGGTTGTTCTCTAATTATGGGCTTTGTTTTTTTTTATTTTTTTTAGTTACAAATAAAGATTCTTTTTGAATATTAATATCAATTAAATTAGAGATATTAGTTTGCAATATGCTAATGCCTCCTATTTGAGAATCAATAGGAGAAAAAATATTGGCTTGAGATTTAGCACTTACTAATTCCTCACAAATTCTATATTTTTCAATATAAGTATCTCTTGTTTAAAGATCACAGAGTTCTCTTTTACCTTTGCATATTTTATATAAACAGATAACCTTTTTTCAAGTTTTTAATGCAGGTAATTTAATAAATACTTGATGACTCATTTTTAGTCTTTTAGGAGTTATAATATTAGATATTGGGAGACAAGGCAGAGAAGAAGTCTTTAAATACAAAATTTTTATTAATAAATTTTTTATTTACTATGTTACTATAATTTTTTGCAGCTAAACAAGCATGCTAAATAGAGTATTTTGCATACACACAATAAAGCACTCTTTCAAAATTTAATAAATTTCTTTTTACATTCCTTGGGCAGCATTATTTTATAATCACAAGATGCATTTTAATTATAAATCTATTAATACAATTTATAAATTTCCTTTTTGCTAAAAAACTCATTTTAAACATAAAAATTTTTGTGATATCTACTGTATTTCTCATAAATATCAGTATTTACTACACATAGACTAAAATAGGAATATTGATAATTACCTGAAAGAATTATATAATGACAGTACTCTAACATCTAACCTGAGTGTCTCTAATTCTTGCAGAACTGTAAGAGCTGGGTATATGGCGAGCGCAATTGTAGAAGATATTCAAAAGGTTCTATTTACAATCCCTTCTACCCCCTATGAACCTTTCACTTGCTTTAATAAATTCCTTATATCACAAAACCATCTACCTATTTCATTACCCCAAACACTTAACTCTTTCTTCTTACATTTACTAACAAATAGCCTATGGAGTAACCTCCAAGACAAAGCTGTTATCTTCATCAAAAATGACTATAGTGAAGCACATATCTATCTTCCTGGTGAACCCTGTTTTCTACCTAACTACACAATTATATTTTATTTAGAAAGTATCTATCTTCTTCTATTTATTTCTTTAAAATTGAACACTCAATACATCCCAAGCTCTAGCACTCCCCACTCATCTCTTAACCTATTAATATATATACACAATATTCAAGGCTTTAACCAAAACCTCAAACAACAAGTTTGGAAACACTATTGTCAATCTAACAACTTGGATATTATTTGTCTTACTGAAACCAAACTTGCTAATAACAACACTCTTACCTCTAAACCTCTTAAAACTTCTTACTATACTTACTTTTAGTTTTGTACTAACAGCTCCAAAGCTGGAGCTGCTATTATGATAGCAATTCCTTAACTCCTTACATACACAAAACTTCTCTAATTCCTGGTTATGCCATTATGATTGATTTGCTTTTTAAACATAACTTTAAATTCTGTATTATCTCTACATATCTCCCTAATGATAATGCCTCTATTAGACTTTAAACTCAAAACACTATTATCCAATGGCTACAAGATGCTAGACTCTTAACCTGCTTCTATTATACTTGAAGACTTTAATACCTTAACTAACAATATCCACTACTCTTTTATTAAATATAAACTTCTCCAATTTTTTACCTACAATAATATGTATAATCTCACTTCACACACTGCTTCATCCTCCCCTACCTGGCACAGCTCTAGATACAGCAGTAAGATTGACTTTATCTGGGCCTATCATACTATTATAACCTACCTAACTTCCTTCAACATAGATGACTCATACAGCAGCTCACTTAGTGACTACAAAATCTTGATCTCTCGCTCAGTGTTGTCCGTGGACATGGACATGGACATGGACCATCCATGGACATGGATGTCCATGTCCATGGACAAGCTAAAAGCTATGTCTATGTCCATGAACAAACAACAAATAGTTATGCAGTATCATATCTGCTTCTCATAGCCCGTATTATCATAATTATCTAATCCGAAAATGTACTAAAATCCTAAAGTTAGTATTGTCAATAGACCTGGACAGTCTAAGGCTATAATAATAAAATGCTATACGTTTAGGAATTAATAAAATCAATCCATATAATCAACAGCATTGCTGTCAATAAACATGAATATTAACTCAAATATGTTGTACGTCTTAAAATTTGCATATGATCAAAATTTAAATAGTGAATTTGATTAGGGGTGGGGCAAGAGTAGACATTAGCGGAATTATAACTAATTAGAACATGAATTTTTAGTGAATAGGCTTTTTATAGTATGGTGAGAAATTTAAGACATTAGGAATTTTTATAGCAAAAATTTTTTTTTAACCGATTAGATTTCTTGCTGATCAGCCAATAACATGCTTGGACATTGGACATTGTCTATGGACATGTCCATGGACATATGTCCATGTACATTACTTACGCAGGATGATCATGTGGACATGGACATTGGACATTGTCCATGGACGTCCATGTCCAATGATTTGGCTTGGACATATATCCATGTACATCACTGCTCTCGCTAGTCTTTTCTCTATGCACTACATAGCCAACGTAGACACAAAACTCAGATTTGTAAAAGAGTATTTAATTACAAAGTTATAAACAATACTAAATATGAAGAATTCTCTAACCAAGTCCACATTAATCTCCACTCTAACCATACTCTTTTTTTAACACAAACTCTGGAATTTCTTGAAACAACTTGGAATAATCCAAACTAGTATTATTATAGCTGCTTTACAACACATCCCAAATAAAAATTTACTGTTCACAACTTTCAGCATACTTTTTCTTCAAAAGCCACTTATTTATACTCTAACCTCAAAAAACTTGGCAACATTATTCAACATGTAAAACATGCTCTAAAACACTCTTCACCTAATCCTTTTCACCTTAACTTCTCTATTACATTACTTAATCAATCCACAAGCTTACATATTTTTTCACTACTTTCCACACACCAACTTCTTACTTCTGGATTACTGAGGCCAACTTTGAATAGAAAAATTTTTTTATGTCTAAAATATTAAAAATATTAAAGAAATCAAACAACAAATCTCTGATGCTATCAACAAAAGATGCTCCAAACTTCAGACCCATCCAATCTCAATGATTATTAGTATTCTCAATCGACACAAAGACTCTGTTAAATTTGACAATATTCGATTAGATAATGATTTTATTACTAACCCTCTATTAAATCACATATCCAACAACACTTTGATAACTGGATAGCTCCCTGCTACATTAATACCAATATATTTAACTCCCAATAGCAAGTCAAATATAACCCCAAGCCCCATATTAACCCAACTTGATACTCTAATATTCTTTTTGACTTCACTAAAAATAAGATTATCTCTACTATTAACCAACTTCCCAACAACAAAGCCTGTAGTCCATCTGAAATTAGCTACAAAATGTTCAAACATGCAGGCCTTGACTTTTTTACTGCTATTATATCTCTTTTTAATTAATGTCTTATCTCTCAAATATTCCCAAACAATAGAAAGAAGGCCATATATTCCTATTTCCAAAAGCCTATTTTTGATAGCAACCTATCAAACACCAGACCTATTAGCTTAATTAAACATATTAAAAAGCTATATACAAAACTTTTTACTAACTGTCTCAATACTATTTTGTCTCAATATAATATTCTTTCTCTCTTTAACTTTGTTGCACTTTCTGGCAACTTTACCTCCATCCCTATTCACATTCTCAACAACATAATAGAAGATGCCAACTATAACTTCAACCAACTCTGGCTACTTTTCCAAGATATAAGCAAGGTATATGACTCAGTCAACTTCGAACTATTTTAAAAATCTCTTCATCATATACAAATACCTCAACAGCTTATCAACATTCTAACAACCTCTTATTCAACTTTATTAATTAAGTTATTACTAATCTTGGTCTTACTAATTTCTACTCTGTTAGAAATGGTATCAACCAAGGTAAAACAATTACTCCTCTTTTCTGGAGAATCTACTATAACCCTCTTATAGTATATACTTTCTCACACTTTTCTAATTACACTCTCTCCACTTCTTGGCAAACTAGTCTTATACACCCCTCTACCAACTACCTCAATACCTCTATATCTGTTCTGGCATACATAGATGATACATTACAGATTGCCCAATCCAAAGAACAACTTAATGAAATTGTTAATATTGCCTTCTCTTTCTACACCATAGCAGATATTCAAGTTAACCCTACAAAATCAATATTTATTACAAACCAAACCCCATCTAACTTCTCATTTCTTAACTCCAACCTTCAATCTATTCCACTCTCCCAGCCTTTTAAATTTTTAAAATGTTGGTTTACTCTTAACAACAAACAAACCTCCCAAATCAAACTTATTCAAGATGAAGCTACTAATTTAGCCAACATTGCTAGTACCAAAAACATTACTGACAAACAAATTACTTATATCATTAATACTGTCATTACCCATACTATTGAATACTGAATTCATAATATCATTATTCCTCTTTCTATATGCAATATAATTCTTGTCAAATATCTTACTATTGCCAAACACAAAGCACATCTTTCTCACTCTACTTCTAACAGTACTCTTCTCAACTACAACCTCTATAATATCTACAATATTTGGGATATACAACTCCAACACCACATTAGCAATTTTCTTACTTGTATTAATAACACCTCTACTCTTGATACAACAACCTGCATCTGACTTCAACAATTTCAAAAACAATCTCTGGTCTACTACTAATTTTCTTCAACACCCCTATCCTATTATTGATAGTTCAAATAAATATTCTACAACATTTAAGATCATACAACTTCTTAATTATTTACATATTTCTGTACACTCTCACCTTAATACTTCCTGGCCCAAAATTATAAATGATAATAACACTTCACTTGAAAACATTCTTTTGAACCACCCTAAATACAACACCTTCAAACAACAACTCCAACACAAAAACATTCTCTATCTTGAACAACTTTGCTTATGTGACAACAATATACTTTTAAACTGGTCACATCTATCTCCCAGACTTCTACATATCTCCAAAGAAAAAAACCACTTTGGTTTACCTATTTAGAAGACACTATCCTTGACAACAAACTATATCAGACTATTTCAGCCAACTTCTAGCCTACTGGCGTTAATCTATTTGCTTTTCAAACCAACTTACTTTTCAAAACTCACAAACCCTGGATTCTTATATATCTCAATAAAGACATTATTATTGGTCAAGTTCGCAGAACCTTTTTCCAAACCAACACTATTTCAATAACTCACTGGCAACACAATATTGACATCTCAACTCTATATTACTATCTATTACCTTCTATCTCTTGCACTCCTTGCCAAGATTGCAATTTTAACTCCAACCACATATCAAGCTGTTGTACTTTAGAAGTATCAGCTGTTCTTTCTACCCAATTTTTGAGAAGGAAAAAAGCCAACAAACAACTCAACCTTAATGCTAATTATATAGATCTTATCTGTTCTGTCAACATTAAACATTCCTTCAACATACCACCCCATCTACCATTAACATTACCAATTTTATTATCTTATCTATCTTCCAGAACAATGATGCCTCTCTACAACTTGCCCAGTTTGCTTCTACCAACTTATTCCAAACCCAATTTACCTTCTATACAGATGGTTCAGTTAAACAACTTGGCACCAATTAATGCTCAATAGGTATTGGCTAGGTTCAAGTTTATAACAATCATGTTATCTACAATTTCTCTGCACAGATTTCCAACTGGTCTTCTTCCTACAAAGCTGAACTACTAGCAATACTATCTGCTATTTTAACACTCTCCCAAAACTCCAACATTGAAATATTTACAGACTCACAATCTATTATCTCTAAATATAACAAACTTTTATTTACATCACTACACTCCTCCAAATATCTTAAATTTAACTCTTGGCCTATCTGGCACATACTTCTTAATATTTTGAAAGCCTTCAATATACAAATCTCTTTCTATAAAGTTCAAGCACACTTTGATAACTCCTTCAATAATCTTGCAGACTTACTGGCCAACAACCACTCCTCCTCCCCAATTTTATATTTTAACTATACTAATTCTTACAACCCATACTCTAATTTACTATGAAAAAATGTTTTGTCGAAAGTCCTACTAGACAATTTATTAAAACAATTTGCAAAGCACACACTATTACTCTATAGTCTTCACAACACCATACCCAAGAATGGTCATCTTTCTCTTACTTGATCAACTGGAAAGCCTCTTGGTTATACTTCAATAACAATCAACACAACCTTACCAACCCTAATCTAAACCACTTAAAAGCTTTCAAAATAAAATTGCTTCTTAATATGCTGCCAACATATGTATACTTCTATTTCATATACTCTCTTACTTTTATACTTGACAATTGCTTCTCTTGCAACTATCCAAATACTTCTTCTCACTAGTACACTTGCTCTGATAATACTATTTTAACTCAAACTATTAACTTCTCAATACAAAAAATTATCCTTAACTCCAATCTCAATCTTTCTACACACCAACTTCATAACCTCATGTATAACATTTCTTTATATATTTCTTTTATCTCTTCATTCTCATCTCTTTACCCTTACTCTCTTCATTTTACACTTAAAGGTCTTATACCAATACCACTAATCCAGGCCCTAGACTCTTTTGACTTTCCATACTCTTACGTCTCTTAACTTATTATACAAGTACTTCTCAAAATTTCTAACCAATTATATTACAAAATATGGATTCCCTACTGTATCAACTTTTCCCACTAGAAAAAAATACATCAAATTCCTTCTCAATCTATCTAATCTATCCAGACCCTCTTCACATAAAAGAAACAAAACTAAATATACTTATAACTACCCTTGTGGCTTTGCTAGTCAACTACATTCTGAATTCAATACATGTCCTCATCTAGGACAAGCATCTACCAAACTAATATCTAGTCTACTACATGAATTAGGTATAGCATACCTACAGTGCGGGACAGCAAGAGACATCCAATCTATACATATAGGCACCAATTTTTTGCGCTTATATAATCAATTCTGATTGGCTAATTTTTGAGTAATTGATTTTGATTAGTTAAAAATCTATATATGTTTTCTTTTTTTTTATATTAAACGCCAATTTTTTGAACTCATATAAACTTTAATCTCTTATAACTTTTTTAAACCAAAGAATAAAAAAAAAATCCTCTGACAGAAATATAGTTTATCTAAAAATCTATCAATTTGTTAAAGGGTTTTTTGTTTTAGCTTGTTTTAAAAAAGTTATACCACTTTAAAGTTTTATTAATAGAAGTTGGATGTCTCTTGCTGTCCTGCACTGTATTAACAATATTTTAACTATTCAAATTTAGGTGACTCTTGACTACTCTAGTAGGTTTAGTTCACAAATAACTAGTTTAAACTTTAGTTTGAGCTTTTAGTCTGAGCTTTTTTTTTTTTTTTTTTGGTATTAAGGTGATCTCTATGGTCAGGACATTTTATTAGATTATTAATTTCAGATTATAATTACAATAAGAGTACATCAAGCTACATGTGTACTTCTAGTACCTAATTTAAGTAGTTCACCTGGGTTTTACAATAGCTGCCATACCTGCAATCTAACTAGGTGATTATCTATTTAAGCTTTCTGGTTATTACTAACAAGAGTACAACTAGCTATACATGCAACTTTTGGTTGCCTATTTAAGTAGTCGGCCCTAGGTTCTACACTAACTGCCGTACCTGCATCCCAACTATGGGGATAATTTAGTCTGAGCTTTTATTCTTGCATATAATTTATATTTATTTGTTTTTGTACAAATTAAGCTTTTATAACTATGTAATTGCTTATATAAATTAATCAATAAAGATATGAGCAAGACCTCACCTTAATACCAATAAAAAAAAATATTAGTAATTAATCTATCAAATTTAAAAAAAAAAATAACATTAATCACAATATGATTATATGTATATCAAAGATAAATATAGTACATATAACAATATTTTACGTATAAAAATTTAACCATAATAAGTAATAGAATGCTTATATATATAATAAGGTTTAACTAAAATAGGATAATGACAAAAATAAATATATTAAAAGTCACATTAGACTCTTGGTAGCATGCTGATACTTATATTGAGAATCTGATTTCTATTATAATTAAAATGCAAACATAATAAAGTTATAAATTATATAGCTAATATAACTGTATTTATATTTTTATTATTAATAATAGTATAATTAATTAATAAAATCAATTGGTCTAGTTATCAGTAATAGTATCTTGATATTTATTTCAAATCAAATAAATCAAATTTGATTGAATTAATAAATATCTTATGAATAAAATATTTAATAACAATAATATAATTATTGATCTATTAGAATTTTAATGAGTTTTTAGTTAAAATAAATTTATAACAAAGAGAACTTTAGTTTCTGATATCTATTTAGAGAAATCACAATTCAGAATTTTAAATTTTATAATTTACCAGGTTCAGTAATTTGATTTTTTAAGAACTGTACTCAGAATTTAAAATCCTGAAACCTATACACGAGTGACAGTATATGCTTTGTTTTGATGCTACAAATATTTTCACATCTATATAAGAAAAAAAATAAAAATACACTATGATACTTGTATAATATACTCTTCTCTATTTCTTTCTAAAAGTAATAAAAAACAGTTTTTATTTTTTCTTCATTTAATAAACACTTACTATATCATTTTGAAATACAAAAAAAGTCTTTACATCATCTAATATGAGTCTTTTATATGTTTTAAGTATTTCTAGTATTTCTCATTTATCTTCAAGTATTTCTCATTTATTAGTAAATATTGAAAGAAACAAAAAAAAATTAAAAAGATCAAAAAATCATATGAAAGAGATACTAAATTAATTTGGACATATATTTGTAGCACATATGCATATTCAGCAATTTTTCTTGTATATTAGTTTGTATAATACTACATACATCATTTGAGCCTATCCAATAATATTGCAGAAAATTTATATATAATATTAAATTAAGTTTGTGTAATATTAATTAAGTTTGGACAAGAAATTTATAAGTATCAATTCTTTAAAAAATATAAAATGAAAACTTACTATTCTGTATCAATGTAATTAAGACATACTAATATATAATTTTTACAATGACTGTTTATTCAATACAGAAACACAGAAAATTATATGATTTGTTTTAGTGCAACTATATCAAATCACATAATTACTAATTATTATATAACATTTTAATATAAAAATAATAACTCTTAACAAACTTAAATCACAATAAACTACCCTAAAAACATAGAAATTTTATGTACTTGAATCGATGGTTGCTATTTTAAAGATCATGATAACTTCACTGAATTCGAATTCAAATTATGGGTTTATACTATTTAAATCTTAACTAATAGGACATAAAACAATGTATATAGGCTAAATGTTATCAATATATAAAAAACCAAATAAATTTTTCAATTACTTTAAACCATTACTGTATAATTCTTCAAGTTTCATCTTTATTACCTACTAATATCGAACTTGTGAATTTAAAAAGCAAAAGTAAGTAAATGTGAAGCAAATATGCAAAAGCTAAAGTAAATAAATGAAAGCAAATAACTAAAATAAAAGTAAATAAATGCAAAGCAAATGTATAAAAGCAAAAATAAATAAGTACAAAGCAAATATATAAAAACAAAAATTACAAAAGCAACAATTTATTAAAAAAGCATAAGCCAATCTTCAGAAAAGCTATAATGATGACAAATTGGTATATACTGTGGGTTTAGAGGTAGAAGCTGAGCATTCTTATTTTGTTTAAGTTAAACTAATACAATATAGTTGTGTCTATACCATTGCAGAATAATAGGTTTTCTGTGATGACCAAGCTTTTGATTATATAGCAAAAACAAAAAAGATACTGCAGAGTCTACTACAAACACTACAATTGGTACATTGAATGTATCTGATGCTAATTGCAGACACTCTGGAGAATAGAACCAGAATTCTTATGAGCACATTTGTTCTATACATGTTAAAATGGCTATAAGTTGATCATATTATATCCAAGTATATCACAATACAATTCTTCTTGCTTAACTAACTGATCCTTCATTGCAGCTTTAATATCTTGCCACCCTTTCTCATTTTTAAATAAAGCTACAGCTAATGACCTAAACCCACAATGACCATCTGAGATTGGATTATATACTTGTAATACCATACCTCAAGAAATGAAAGTATTAGGATATGTGTTAGAATCTATTATATTATTCTTTTTTAATTTTCATCCAGCAGGAACTTTTTTTGAAGGTGCCTTATCTTCATCTTTGCTATAAATTCTTTTGTTATTCTAGATCGACTACGTAAATGTTTAACTATTGGTATCTTAATTTTATCATAACTTAAATTATCAATATTTACTGTCTCAAACTTGCTATTGTGTATATTATTATTGTGTATATTATTTAGATCACTCAGAGGTAATTCTGACACTTTTCATATTTTATAACATGATTTGAAACTTGTTGTATTAATCCTAAAAAGGCATCATGATAAAACTCTGGAATCTGCTTAAAAATTTGTACAACATGTGGATAGTTAGCATATTTCATTTTTTTACAGTGTTTTACTTGCCAATGCTAATGAATTTTACTCGAAAGAATATAGATATGTAAAAATAATAAATAAACCAATATGATATGTTAACACGAAGTTCTAGTTCATTGAGAAAACAGGCATGTACAAGTACTAGAAACTTCAATATATACAATATATGTTGCGTTAACTTTGTCATCAATCTGCTTTATATTATATGAACTATTGTTACTTTCAAGCACCTTATAACACCAGATTTTGCATAGTCACCCTCTGGTTTTACAAATGATTCAAATGCAAATCATGAACAAACTAATTGCAGATTCTCTAAACCTGAATCACTATTGTCGTTTACATGCTTAGTTTGATGTAAGAAAGTTTTATAAGCAGGCTTTTAAAAACTTTCTTGTAATTATTGCCAAAGATTCGTAAACAATCTATTATAAATATTATTTGACAAATAAATTGATAATTTTATATTTTGAAATAACTAGCTTTTATTGCTGTTTTTAAATTAGTGTGATAAATAAATTTGTAAATTCTATGAATCTTGCATTTTACTATTATTAAAACAATGGTAAAATGCAGGATTCATAGAATTCACAAAACTTACTTAACATACTAATTTAAAAATAGTAATAAATTTAAAAATTATGCAAGCCTACATTAGTAAATTTATATGTGCGAAATATCGTACAAGAATTTGTGATATGCAAAAATAATGCAATATTGCGCAAAATATTTCGCAAAATTTCACAAAATTAAAAATTTGAAATATTTTGCACAAAATTTTGCAATATTTCACAAGATATTTCGATAACTTTTGAAAACTCAAAATTGAAGTTATTCGCAAAATATTTTGCAATATTTTGCAATTTATTTCAAAATATTTTTTTAGATAAATATTTGAAATATTGTAAAAAATTTTAGAAATATTTTAAGATTCATCAGAACATTGTAAAACCAAGCTGGATTTGTAAATATGTAACATGGATTATACCAAGAGTACATTGTACTAATATTTTCAAAACTTTACAATAATATTCAAAACACTTATTTTTTATATTAGCACTTTACAAGTTATTAGCAAATTAAGTAAAGCAAAAAATTATGAAAGTTATTGCAAGGTTTTTAAACTTTGCAATATTTTAAAAGATATTTTGATTTTATAAAATATAAAAAATATTTTGCAAATATTTCAAAATATTTCGCATTATTTGTAAATATTTGAAAATTAAATTTTGCAAAATTCTCAAAGTATTTCAAACACTTTTACAAATTTTCAAAAAAGTTTAATAAATAATTTTATAGCCTTTTTATATTTTATAAAATATTGCAACAACATAAATTTAAATTATTTGAAATATTTTACAAAAGATTAAAATATCTAGCAATAGACTTATTAAGCTAATCGCAAATTTAAAATTTTTTTTTTTTTTTTAAGAGAGGTCTTTCCTCTATTTCTTTATTTCAAAATATATAATTGAATACAACTCATACAAATTTATACATTTAATGAAAGGGTGTAGAAGTTAGGGCTCAGGTTTACCCTCGACCTATTCTTAGCTAGAATAGTCGAAAAACCTCTAGGCTATGTAGTTAAGGAGTGGGAATGTAGAATTATTGTAAATGAATTTGTTAATCTATGCAATGAATCGTCTATCTATGGAGCTAAAAGGAGTATTGATTTCTAAAAGAGTGATGATAATTAAGGGGTTAGGAGTAGACTAATGTATGCAGGTTCAACTTGGTTTCCATATTTCTTCATGTATACTTTTAGTAATGATATGGTATATTTGTGAGATTATAGTAATGTTTTGAAGAGTTGATTCTAATTTTGTGGGTGTTGTTGAGCTGATAAACCTGATAGAGATTTGTTTTTTGATGTAGATTGTGATGAAGTCTTGTATAAACTCGTGAGTTGTTGGTATGTTCATCTTGTTTGTTTGGCATACTTTAGTTATTGCTTTATATATGATCTTATCAATTTTAACTAGTTTGTGTGGGCATATGAGCATGTGTACTGTGTCTTCTAGTATTTGGGAGCATTTTACGCAGAAAGGATTGGGGTGTATTAATGAGTTTTTGTGATAAAGATGTAAGTGGGTTGGCAATTCAAAAGTTAGTAGTTTTATTTTAAAAGTTTTTAAAGTTGATTTGGTCGGGCAGATATTTCAACTGAGTGGGTTGTCTTGGTAATTTAGATAGTCGAAGGTTAGTTTCTAGTTAATATTTGGGAGTCTTTGTATAATAGATTTGATTCAGTTTTGTTCATTCCATTGAATAGTAGCTTTTTCTTTTTGTATGATTTTGGGTATTTGATAGATTGAGTATGTAGTGAGAATGCCACTAATACAAGGTGTAAAGTTGGAGTTCAATACTGTTTGTGTTGCGATGTTAGTGTGTAGCTGGAGATTTGGTGTTAGGATCTTGATTTTCTTTTCTGATAGGTTTGTATTGATGGTATAATCTTTAGCCAGGATGATTGCTCTTATTGTCGATATTATGTTGTTAAATAGGATTTTGCAAAGTTGTTGTTGGTGATATGATGATAGATTAAGTATAGATTGAATTTTTGCTTGTAGCCATCTTTTGTCAGTAGTGATATTTATATTTGTTCAGAGAGAGAGGATAGTGTAAATTATTGCTAGTATTGTAAATGTAGCATAAGTATGAGATAGAAAGGATTTGTTTGTAATGTGCTAGATTTGTTGGTTGCGTTAGAATTGGATCTGTAAGAAGGGGGATTTTTGTTTGTCTGTTGAGTTTATAACTTAAAAGTACTGTATATAATTAATATTATTATCTTATTTATTTATATTGATTCTTTATAATTTTTTAATTATTTTTTTTAAATTAAAAATAGAACAAATATTTTAAAGCTAAATAAAATAGTTTACTTTCTATATATATAAAAATTGTTTCAAATATACAATCTTTTATTACTTTAATTTATTCTGATATATGTTTAAAAATATTAAATACAAACTTTTTAAAAAATAGAATAATATTATCTGCCTATAATAATAATATATAAAATATTAATTGTAAAATACTTAATATGTTTCTTGAAAACAGCCATATATATTTAAATACTATAATGCAATAATAGAAGATAGTGCAGATAATAGCAATATATACTGTATCTTACAGAATATTTAAATTCTCTTACTCTATCTAAAATGCTATCTTTTAAACTTGCTTTAAAAATTGGCTGTCATATTATACTTCTTCATAATCTTGCTTCTAACCAATATCTTTGTAATAGAGCATGTTTAATAGTAGTTTAGCTTACAAATTATATTATTAAAATACATATTTTTAGTAATAACCAAGCTAGAAAATTAGTTTTTATTCCCCACATTACTTTAATATTATCTTTAACATGTTTACTCTTTATTTTTAAAAAAAGTCAGTTTCCAATTTAATTAACTTTTGCAATTACTATAAACAAATCTCAAGAACAATCACTAAAGCATATTGGGCTAGATCTTAGAACTGCAGTTTTTTTACATAGCCAACTTTATGTTGCTCTATCCTGTTGTATATCTTCATAATTGATCAAAATTCTTTTGGCACAAGAAACTACCAACTGCTCTACTTTAAACATTGTTTATTTTGAAGTATTAATACAAAATAATTAAAGTAATAATATATTGCAACTAAAATAATACTAAAATAATAATATATAGAAATATTAAAAAGTTTTTTAATAAAATAAAAAATTTATTATATAAATATTATATAATATTAAATAAAACAATTTATAAACTTCCGTGACAACGCCACGAGTTAAATGCTAGAAATATAACTAGCAATGTTAGATATGCGGATGACTTTGTCGCCCGCTTGTGTTTTTTATGTTGAATTGTTATTTGATTATTATTTTTTTTTTTAGTATATATAATATATTAAGTGATTATTTAAATCTTATAAAAGGCGTGTAGCGACCTAGTGAAGTGGTGGGGTTGCTGCACTCCCAAACGGCAGGTCTAGAGTTCAAATCCCATGGACGACGATTTTGAAAAAACTAGATCTGTATCAGTTAACGTTAAGATTATCGGTTGGATCCAGATATC